AACGATAACTGATAACAACATATTATTAATAACATCAATGTTATTACTTGTTCAATACAATTATTGAATGAATGAACTCCAATTTTTCGGCCCCACTCGTCTCACGGGCCTCTCCGCTCACCGTTTCCCGCTCACCGGTTCGCGGGCCCCCTCAGCTCCCGGGCCCCCCCGCATCGCGGGCCCTGCGGGCCCTTCTGTTACGCCACTGGTATACTGTGGGTAGTTGGCCTATTATGAACACATGCTACAACTTCAAGTCTTTTGTTTACTTTATCCTTGTTATTTAATTCATCCAACATTGTTACCTAGCAACCCATAAGACTAATGTTAAAAAATGTGATTTTCAGTTTCATTTTTCTACGTAATTAGATTTTTGTTGGCAGTTCTAACTGCAGTTAACTCGTTTTTAGGCCAGAAATAAACTATTTACAACATTTGAAGAAAATCGTCGGAGCCGTTTTCGAGATCTTTTTTGCAAGCAAGCAAGCATACATACAAGCAAACATTGCTCGTATTAGAGCATAGGATAGAACCAAATTGTGTAGTTGAAACAGCTGACAAAATTCTTTTATTCCTTTTAAATATGATTACTCATAAGGTTAACATGGGAAACTACAAAGCCACTGGGGCGGAGGCCAAAAGGACTTTTCAGATAAGAATGCATCTATATGTTAATCGGGAATGTAAGCTATCATCACACCAAATTTCAACCCGATCCGACCAGTATTTTTCGTGTTTACTTGTCACAAACATACATACATCCAAACTTTCTCATTTATAATATTAGTAGGATTAATAACAACTGTTGTTTGTAGTTTGCTTGTTTAATGTATTTTGATCAAAATTGACTGTCATTTCATACTAAGCTATTATCATTTTGATAAAAAACACACTTTATTATCATCACTGTAGCAGCTAAGTACTCATTAAAATTAATTTTCTATAAATAATACCCCCGTCGCAGCAAACCTGCATACTAAGCGAATTTCAACTTGTCTGATTACATTTTTACTAAAATGTTTCCATAAATAAGACATATTTATTCCCAATTTAAATAACATTAGATTTAACAAGTGCTTAGGTTTGCTGCTACGGGGAAGGTAAAAAGTGTTTTTTGACCATATGTCAATAGTATAGGATGAAATAAATAAATTTGCCAAATTTTATCAATATATATCCATAAACAAGTAAACAGTTTTCATTTTCTCCATAAGAATAACATGGGAATTTTAAATTACACTTTTTTTTATTTTCTCCGTGACCGTTAGGCATACAACAGCGCTTCAATATACTAAATTATTTCTTTTTTTAAGCTCTACAAAATGGTTGAGAAAGAAATTGCAATTTTTTTTGTTTTTAGGGTAAAAAATGGGAAAACCCATTTTTACCCCATAAAACCCCCCATAAACCCCTGTTCCCATGGTCCGATTATGCTGGTTCACAAATTCGTTCAAATAAACGTAGGTTTACACGTTTGTACCAAATTTCATCAAAATCGGATCTTTTTTTCTCGAGTTATCGCGCTAACGGACACATATATAAATATATAAATATATATATATATTTTGTTATTGTATACATCAATGAGGGCTACTTTAAATGTTACTAAGTAAATCAAAATACCATAGTACCCTAAAAACATTTTATTTTATATTACTTACATGTTTCGGACATTAATGCCATGATCACAGTATATTATATAACCTATTAGTTTCTTTCATGAAAAATACTAATTATGAAAGAAACTAATAGGTTATATAATATACTGTGATCATGGCATTAATGTCCGAAACATGTAAGTAATATAAAAAAAATGTTTTTAGGGTACTATGGTATTTTGATTTACTTAGTAATATATATATATATATATGAATTTGAACCGATGGTGTTTATGGTCTCTGGGGACCTGAAAACAAAAAAGTAAATCGGTCCCGGGTCTAGGTCTTACCATGAGACCTACGGTAATAGCTTATTCCCTATATGGGAAATTCGCTAAAAATAAATCTGGCAATTTAAAGGGGAATATTTTGGTGAAAATCCAACCAGGTAATATACATTTGTTTAGTACGCAGGTTTGCTGCGGCTGGGGAATTTTTAGTTGTATTGTTCTAGTAGCAAATTTGTTGTAAAATTTATCATTTTTAATCATTTATCATTTTAATATACGGTATTCCTTTGGGTATCTATATATAAAGCCGAAAGTACCCATGAACTTTTGAGAAAACTACAAGTCACACCCCCATAAACCATATACTTAAAATGTTCGTCACGAGGAGAAACCTTGCGCAAAACTATCCATTTTTATAAATTGCCCTTTAAGGTCATAATTGCTTTCCAAAGGGAACTTTCCACATACTTAATGTTAAAAATACCTCAGCTGTTCTTATTTGTATGTTATTCTTTCAATTTATTACCTTATTGAGCGAAGCTCTTATACGTCGACTCTTATGCATTTCGAAATACGCAAACTCCTCCTAGAAGGCTGAATCAATCGTTTTCAAATTTTGCATAGTGATAAAGACCATATCGGTGAGTGCCAACAACTATATGGCGTTAAAAAAGTCTCTCAGGAATCCGCCCCACTGGGTCTCAAAGTTTCAATGTAATCCTTATGGAAGCAGTATTTGACACATAAACAAAAACAAAGACGTTTGATCAGCTGTTGACTTTTGAATGCAGTAGATAAAGGAATAGCGGATAGCATTATTCCACAGATATTAGAACAGAAACGGTAAGTATGGATCATAAATATAATCAAATGACGACAATAGCTAGCTTGAGGTCCGTGACGTAGGAAGAAGTGAAGAAAGTAGTAAAGGTGAGCAGTCTGGAGTGTGGAAACTGTTTATGACGATTAGATTAAGGTATCTGCAATCCTAAAATGCTATTGGAAGGGAAGGAACAAGGTCCGCGACGTAGGAAGTGGTGAAGGAAGTAGTCAAGGTGAGCTGACCGGAGTGTGGAAACTGTTTATGACGATTAGATTAAGGTATCTGCAATCCTAAAATGCCATGGAAAGGGAGGGAAACAGTTCGGTGACGTAGGAAGTAATGAAGGAGTAGGCTAAAGGCGAGCAGTCCGGAGTGTGGGAACTTTTTATGACCAATAGATTAAGGTATCTGCAATCCTAAAATGCTATGGGAAGGGGGGGAAACAGGTCCGTGACGTAGGAAGTGGTGAAGGAAGTAGTCAAGGCGAGCTGTTCGGAGTGTGGAAACTGTTTATGACGATTAGATTAAGGTATCTGCAATCCTAAAATGCTTTGGAAGGGAGGAAAACAGGTCCGCGACGTAGGAAGTGGTGAAGGAAGTAGTCAAGGCGAGCCGTTCGGAGTGTGGAAACTGTTTATAACGATTAGATTAAGGTATCTGCAATCCTAAAATGCTATTGGAAGAAAAGAAACAGGTCCGTGACGTAGGAAGTGGTGATGGAAGTAGTAAATGCAAGCAGTCCGGGCTGTGGAAACTGTTTATGACGATTAGATTAAGTTATCTGCAAAACTAAAATGCTATGGAAAGGGAGGTAAACAGGCCAATGGCGTAGGAAGTGGTGAAGGAAGTAGTAAAGGCAAGTTGTTTGGAGTGTGGGATCTTTTTATGACGATTAGATTAAGGTATTTGCAATCCAATAATGCCAAGGGAAGGGAGGAAAACAGGTCCGAGACGTAGGGAGTGGTGAAGGAAGTAGTAAAAGCAAGCAGTCCGCAGTGTGGGAAATGTTTATGACGATTAGATTAAGGTATCTGCAATCCTAAAATGCTATGGGAATGGAGGAAAACAGGTCCGAGTCGTAGGAAGTGGTGAAGGAAGTAGTCAAGGCGAGCTGTCCGGAGTGTGGGGAATGTTTGTGGCAATTAGATTAACGTATCTAAAATTCTAAATTGTTATGGAAAGTTATGAATACAGGTCCACGACGTAGGAAGTGGCTTAGGAAGTAGTAAAGTATGAGCATAGTGTGAGAACCGTCTGTGGCAGTTAGATTAATGTATATTCAATCCTAAAATGCTTTGAGAAGGAAAGGAAACAGGCCCCACGACGTAGGAAGTGGTGAAGGAAGTAGTAAAGGCTAGCAGTGCAGAAAGTGGGAACGGGAACTGTCTTTGGCAATTACATTAATGTATCTGCAATCCTAAAATGCTATGGGAAGAGGGGGAAACAGGTCCACGACGTAGGGTGTGGTGAAGGAAGTAGTTAAGGTGAGCAGTGTTGAGTGTGGGAATGGATTAATGTATCTGCAATGCTAAAATGCTACAGGAAGAGACTGTAGACTGTAGGTTAAAATGATTACGAAGCACAGATCTATACATACTTTCAATACATGCAATCGTTTACAATCAAAATTTACAACTGAGTTGACAACAGCTGATTTTTACTCGACAGAGGCTAAAAACGATTTTTACTCCCTAAAGAGTAAAAATGCTACTTTACACCCGCAACGCTTGCATTAAAAACGAATGTTTTTACTGCAGTATAGTAAAAATGATATAATATGAACCCTTGATGACCCCGCTCAATTTTGTGGATGCCTCTGCGAACGCTACCTAGTTAAAATCTGGTGTAATTATTTGTTTGTAATGCTGTATTCTGTTTTGTTTATTTCAGCTTAACTTAACCAATCAATAGTTTTATTAATATTTATGAAGTCAAACGGTTTGAAGCCCGTGGGTAACAGCTAGTTCATTTATAAGCAGATTAGAGGGAATAATTACTACCACAAATTAGTAACAAGAAACTAAAAGATGCAAGAGAAAAGTACGGTAATAATAGTCTTGTTGATAACAAAATAACACAAAGTTATCATTTTTTAGTAGGTGAGGTTTTTTTTAGCTAAAGCCAGTTTTACATCGTCAAACAATTTTGAACCTTCAAACCTGGATTACATACTGTGGATTTTTTGTATTGTAAATCTGGTTAACTTTGGATACAGAACAAGATCGTCACTCTAAACCTTGGCCATGGTTTAATTTATTTATTACAAGTATCTGCTTTGATATTTTACAGGTTTGGATGCGACCAAGCACAATGAACCTGCTTATCCAATTGAAGGTTGGGCAATAGATTATCCTATACAGATCTCCCAAAACAGCCTTCATAAAAGTAAGAATATCACATTATTATGCTATTTCAATTTCTAACATTACTTTTTGAACTAAAAACTGTACAAGAATATGCTTGTTAATGACTAATTTCATACATATGTATGACCATTGATTAATCCTTAGATTTCTGTTGTATGGTTTATTTGTGAAGATAAATTATCACATGTTTTTTAATATTGTTAAAATGAGTAAATAAATAGTTGTTGAAATGTACTGAAATTGACTATTCTCTTATTTTTGACTTTAATAATTGACAATTTAATATTGGTGCCGAAACTAAAAAAAAGAACCATGTCTTACAGAAAAAGTAATAGAGAAGTTAAACCTCCAAAAAGGTATACCCCTGATCAGAATGAAAATAATGATACTGACAAATTATCAAAGAATGTTTCTGAGAATGGAAACAATGACACTCAAGAAGTAGCATTGAGACAACCCAGCATTACTTCTAGTAGTTCAAGAAAAACAAAAAGTAAATCAGCAACATCAAGCAGCAGGAGACAAATGGAAATAGAACTTGAAAAGTTGGAGGAAATACAAAAACTGGAACGAGAAAATGAAGAAAAGGAGCTGGAAAGACAAAGGCTGATGGAGGAGAAAGAGATGGAGCTACAAAGACTGGAGCTGGAGAAGGAAATGGAGCGACAACGTCTGGAGAAGGAAATGGAGCGACAACGGCTGAGAGACGAGAGGGAGCTAGAGCGACGTAAACAAATGCTGGAAATAAGGGCTTCTATGAAATCACTATCGGCAAATGGTAGTCAAGTCTGCGGATCTGAGGTAAGCATAAGTCAAAGCTTAATATCTCAGAGAGAGGAGAGAGAATCTGAGAGTAAAGTCGTGAAGTGGCTGAACCGACAGTTCATCAGTGTTCATCAACCGCTATGACCACGGCTGCACAATTACTAGCAGATTCAGTCAAAAAAGCTATTCAACCAACCTCTCTTTGCCGCCAACAACTACCAAACTTTAGTGGTAGACCAGATGAGTGGCCTATGTTCTTTTCTGCATTTGAAAATACCGTAAAATTGTATTCTGATGATGACAATCTAGCTAGACTTAGAAACTGTCTTGAAGGCGAAGCCTTCAAAATGGTGAAACCTCTTTTTGTTTCCAGTAAAAACTTGCATGCCATAATTAAAACGTTACAGATGCGTTTCGGTAGGCCCGAGTTTATCATTGAGTCTATGATGAACCAAACTAGAATGCTAGCCCCTGTAACTGAAGATGATATTGTTGGCCTCATTGAGTTTTCTACAACCATTCTTAACTTTACCTCGACAGCTGAGTCTCTTCATATGGAGTACTACATGACAAACCCCCAACTACTCAGTGAACTGTTAAGAAAATTGCCTTATCAAATGAAGTACCATTGGGCTCAACATGTGAGCAGTATGTGTTTAACTAGACCTAGCCTAAGTGATTTTTCAGATTGGTTAGAGAGGCAATGTTCTATCATGAGTATCTATTTTCATCCAAACGAGGACGTCCCGACTAGAAAGAAAAATGACTTCAAACCTGTGTTGACCAACTCTTCAAAAGCAGCAGTTCCCGCAGTTGGCCCACTTACCTGCGTGTTCTGTGGTGGTAAGCACGATAATGACAAATGCTCTATACTTCGGAAAGCTGATATTTCCGAAAGGTGGAAAATGGTAGGTGAGAAAAAGCTATGCTTTTCTTGTTTCAAACGACATCAACTTAAATTTTGTAAATCTAAAAGAGCTTGTAGTATAAACGGTTGTAAGCTGTACCATCACCGTCTCTTACATAACTCCAATCTTGAAAGACCTCCAATGAAAAGAAATGAGGGAGAGTTAAAATCTAGAGATGAAGTAATCGGTAATCATTTTGAGAATAACATATCAAACCGTGTTTTGCTTCGTGTTTGTCCTGTCACGTTGTACGGTCCCAAGTCCCAGGTAGATACTTATGCCCTTTTAGACGACGGCTCGACTGTATCACTTCTGGATTCATCAATTGCCGATGAACTTGGTATCAAGGGTGAGATTGTTCCTTTGACAACATGTTGGTCTAACAACACAAGACACTTTGAATCTCAATCAAAGAGAATAGATCTAAAAATAAAAGGATTTTACGAGGATGAAATCTTTACATTGAAAGGGGTTAGAACTCAGTCCACTTTAGAGTTACCACACCAACAAATAGACAGTGTCAAATTGAGGAAAAACTGGCCACACTTAGACTCTATCAACCAACCTCTTCCAATAGCGAGTGTCAGGCCCACTCTCTTGATAGGCCAAGACAACTGTAATCTTATTCTAACCCGTAAGATTGTTGAAGGTCCTACTAACGCCCCAGTACTGTCATGGTGCCTTCTTGGTTGGACTCTACATGGGAAGTGTGCACAATTCAGAGATCGTGTGGATGAAAATTTTACCCTACTCTCATATGAAGAATCTTCGCTTCATGACATGGTAAAGAAATCCTTTGAATTAGAGAAATATGGAGAAACAAGATCAAATAATCTGCAATTGTCCATAGAAGAAGAACGTGGAGTATCAATTCTTGAGGATACCATAAAGAAAACAGGAGATCATTACGAAGTTGGTCTTTTATGGAAAGATGACGAATTTAATTTTCCTCCAAGCTATGACAATGCTCTGAGAAGATTAAATACTCTTGAAAAGAAAATGGAAAAAGATCTGGAATTTAAAAAGGCTTACACAACCAAGATTGACGAATATATGGAAAAAGGTTATATTAGAAAACTCAGCCCTGAAAAAGCTGCTATCATAACAGGTCGAACATTCTATCTACCCCACTTTGGAGTATCGAACCCGAACAAACCTAACAAAATAAGATTGGTTTTCGATGCTGCTGCTAAATCTCACGGAGTTTCGTTCAATGATGCACTACTCAGCGGCCCTGACTATTTGAATCCATTGCCATCTGTGCTGTTGAAATTCGGGTTAGGAAAATTTGCTATCGTGGGAGATATAAAGGAGATGTTTCACCAAGTAAATATAAGAGATGAAGACGTTGACTCACAAAGATTTCTGTGGCGAAAAGACAGAACCAAACCCCCAGATACCTACATAATGAAAGCGATGACCTTCGGAGCAACATGTTCACCAAGCTCTGCACTGTTTGTTGTAAACCACAATGCAAGACAGTTTCAATCTTTGTATCCTGAAGCTAGTAATTCCATACTAACTAAAGAATATATGGACGACCTGCTAGATTCAACTGACACAGAAGAGGAAGCTAAACGACGTGTTCATGAAATAATTGAGATACATAGAGCTGGAGGGTTCCAAATTTGTAACTGGATGTCTAATTCAAAACAAGTACTTTCGAAAATTCCTGAAAACCTGAAAGCTAGTCATGCTAAACATTTGATGCCCGATACTCGACTTCCTACAGAACGAGTACTTGGATTATGGTGGGACGCTGAATCCGACTGCTTTGTGTTCCATCGCAAAGTCGAAAAACTTGAATTTCTTGAATCTGAGTATCCGACGAAACGAGAGATTCTTAAAGCAGCTATGTCAATTTTCGATCCTCTAGGTCTGATTGCCCCTACCACGGTAAAAGGGAGACTACTGGTTCAGGATATATGGAGAACAAAACTAGGTTGGGATGATGTTGTGACACCTGAACTTAGTCTGAAGTGGAAAGCTTGGATGGATGAAGTCAAAAGTCTTCGAACACTGAAAATACAAAGGTGCTACTTCAACACACGAGTTAGTGACTCAGTTGAACTTCACATATTTGTTGACGCAAGTGAAGAAGCTTTTGCTGCAGCTGCATATCTGCGTCAGGAGAACAAAGACACTTACGAAACGACATTGATCATGTCACGTGCCAAAGTGGCACCCATCAAGAACCTGACTATACCTAGACTGGAACTCCAAGCTGCCGTTTTAGGATGTAGAGTAGCTTCTGCTGCTGAACAAGATTTGGGTGTTTCAATCCAAAAGAAAACGTATTGGTCTGATTCTCAAACAGTCCTACACTGGATTAAGTCAGATCCAAAAAACTATAAACAGTTTGTCTCTAATAGAATTGGAGTAATCCAAGAACTTTCTTCGGTAGAAGACTGGAAATGGGTCCCGACAAAATTGAACCCTGCCGACTATGCGACTAGAAGCATAAAAAGATTCAATTCTGACATTCAAAACACATGGCTCCATGGTCCCCAATTTCTATCTTTAAACTGTGAACACTGGCCCGCACAACCACCGAACCTACAAGTAAAAGAAGACCATGAAACGAAACGCCAGTTTACCGGCTTACATGCAGATGTCGAAGCAAAAATAATTGACATTTCAAAGTTTTCATCATGGGAGAAACCGACTAGAATTGTTGCTTGGATTTTGAGATATGTCAATAACTTAAAATCGAGGTGCAAATCAAACGACAAAACTCAACTTCGATTTGGACCAATAGCCTACAACAGCATTGTCGAGCTGGAACCTAAAGAACTGAAAGCTGCCGAAGAAATTCTTTTGAAATCTGCACAGGATGAAACCTTTGGTGAAGAAAGGAAACTTTTGATGAGAAAGAAGTCTATTCCGAAGTCAAGCCGCATTTATTCATTCTCTCCATATTTGGATTGTAACAACATTTTAAGAATGTCATCAAGAACCTCAAACTCACCCGAACTGACAGAAGATCAGAAAAATCTTATAATATTGGATGGCCGACACTTTAGTTCGAGATTGATAGGACAAATGTATCATAATGAATGTTTCCATCAAGGTCTCGAGACAGTTGGGTGCAAGATAAGAGAAAAATTCTGGATAACAAATCTACGACCACTTCTAAAGAAAATTAAGAAAGAATGCATGAGGTGCAGATTGAATTGTGCGAAGCCTGTTCCCCCCCAAATGGCGCCTCTACCAGAATTCAGAGTAACAAGAACTAGCCACCCGTTCTTCTACACTGGAGTAGATTACTTCGGACCGATAGAAGTAACTGTAGGGAGGAGACACGAGAAACGTTGGGGAGTTTTGTTCACATGTTTGACAACTAGAGCTGTCCACTTGGAAGTTGCGCATTCTTTGAACACAGAAAGTTGTATCATGGCAATCCAACGTTTCATTAGCCGAAGACCCTGTCCATCGGAGATGTTCTCGGACAATGGGACAAACTTTGTTGGGAGTGACAAAGAACTCAGGAATGCTACTAAGTGTTTAAACAATGTCCACATTCAGAGGGTCATATCCAGACAAGGTATCAAATGGAACTTTATTCCTCCTCGAGCCCCACATATGGGCGGATGCTGGGAGAGACTCATCAGATCAGTTAAAACTGCATTAAAATTTGTCATGCGTTCCCAGTATCCTAAGGATGAAGAACTTCAAACCTTTCTTGTTCGAATAGAATTTATCATCAATTCAAGACCACTGACTAATGTACCAATTGACCCACTCGATCCAGACCCGCTCACTCCAAACCATTTCCTTAGAGACGCCTTCAAAATAGATATCAATGAAGACAAACTTTGCAGAAGGCAACTAACTCGAGTTAAGACCCTACTAGACAACTTTTGGAAAAGGTGGATTCATGAGTATTTACCCTGCTTGACAAGGAGGTGTAAATGGCATAAAAGAACTGTTCCACCTGAAGTTGACGACTTGGCAATAATCGTAGACGAAGACAACACACGTAACACCTGGCCCCTTGGAAGAATATCTGCCCTATACCCCGGTCGAGATGGACAAGTAAGAGTTGTTGACATCACAACACCAAAAGGTACTTTTCGACGTCCGATGACAAAAATTGCCATTCTACCTGAGGAGGGGAAAGATGTTAATGACTAATTTCATACATATGTATGACCATTGATTAATCCTTAGATTTCTGTTGTATGGTTTATTTGTGAAGATAAATTATCACATGTTTTTTAATATTGTTAAAATGAGTAAATAAATAGTTGTTGAAATGTACTGAAATTGACTATTCTCTTATTTTTGACTTTAATAATTGACAATTTAATAATGCTGCAGCTAATGGATGTAAAATATATCATGTTGAATACTTTGAGAAGCTGTGTTCATGTTCAATATAGAAACGTTTTAACATAAAGATCAGACTCATTAACTTTGATTTGAATGGGACAAACATTACTTACTTACTCTTACTCCCATCGCCATCGATACCCTAGAAGGGTTTTAGCCTCGCCAACAATTGCTTGCCATTCTTCCCGGACCTTTGCCTCATCTACTTCTGCTCATTGCTCATGCGATGACGATCTTCTCGCTGCCACACCACATTTTTTAGGCCTTCCAGGTGGTCTTCTCCTGTTCGGCTACCCTTCTCCTACTTCCTTCAATAGTGTTCCTGTATCCCTTCTCAAGACATGTTCTGCCCATCTTAGCCATCTAAATCTCACATGTGCTGAATATCATAATTGTAGGGTCTGTATAAATTTTGTAGGCTATTTCTTCATTATGCAAAATTCTTAACTATCCATTATTATTCACAGGACACATATCTTTCATAGTATTTTATTTTTAAAAAACATTGAGTTTTCTCTCTTTTTTTATTGAATATCCACATGTTGGCTCTATATCAAGAAACATTGCTGTTGAGAAATTTGGGACCATCCTGAAAATGTTCTTTTAGGACCTGTGTGTAAAAGATGGTTTGTAGAAATCACTATCATGAATAAGATAAATATTACTTGATTTGATTTGCTTTATCTGGTTTACATATTTTTTATCCAAAAGGATCTTAATATAATTATCATGTAGGTTAATGCTTTTCTGGTATGGAATGTTTACAAATATAGCTTTTTCCTAAATACATATGAATTAAGAGATATACACTGAACAATACTTGTATGATTACTTGTGTGACAAAACTGACTCTTTAGCTTTTTTTGAACAATATTTAGTTTTAAAATCAGGTTTAATAATAAGGTTTATATGTTCACAGGTGGAAGTTACACCCTCAATCGTTCCAGTGAAAATGAATATGTAGTGATTGGACCACAACTAGCACAATTAAATAGATTAGATCATATATGAAATTTAATTTAACTATATTATTTTTATAAAATTACCTACTTTTTATTACCTACTTCACTTCCTGACTTTTAGCAAATTTCTCCTTTACAAAAGAACAAGCCAATTTCCCCAATAGTAAGAAGCTATTACCATGGGTGGTTTGGTAAGATCTAGACCCCGAAACCGATTTACCTTTTTTATTTTGATGTCCTCAATGGTAAAAAACACTATTCGTTCAGATTTGTATATATATATGTGACCGTTAACAGGACAATTTAAGTAATTTTGGTCCGATTTTGAAAATTTAGCCTGAATGTGTAGGGTTGGATAAACTTGATTGAGTTTGCGAACCAGAAACATTGGGTAGTGGAAAAGGGGTGTTATAGGTTTTTTTTTTATGTTTCCAAATTGGTTTTTCAAAATGTCACCTTTGTAATGAAGTGTTTGAGAAGGCCAAGGTTTGGTAATGAAACATCGGCAGAAAAAACACCAAAGCACCAAGGAAAGGTGCTCATAGCCCAGTCAATAAAGGGACAAAATAGTGCTTTGTCGGAAGTAATTAGTGAAAGGCTGATTTTTCATGGATGTTAGTAGATCATATAAGGAACATTTTCTAAAAAGTCCCCGCCCCTCCCCCTCTTGCTTCCCCCCCTACCTGTTTAAGTGTATTTGTGTAAGCTTTTATCATTTTATGAATATTTCAGAAACAAACAGCAATAGAATATATTTTGTTTCACCATTTTAATCCTTACAATATTCTCTACAAAAGACGTTATTAGAGTGTAATCCATATATTCAGTAGTTTTCGTGTAATTTAAGTTTGAATGTAAATTTTTTCACTTTTAAATTTCAGTCTTCATCTGTTAAGTTGATTTGTATTGAAATTAGACGAGAGAGAGAAACCTGTTTTATATAAAAAGTTGGCGTATTTTTCAATCTTTAAAAGGATATGGGTTTTATGTATTTTAGTTGAAGCCAGTTGGCAGAATCAGTCCGAAAACGGGAGACGGCGTCGGGCGCAAGACCGCTCGCGGCGAGTATAGTTAGTCCAGTCAACCTGTGTTTTTAGGGGGAGAGGGAATTAGTAAAAAGCTGATTTTTCTCGTCGACTACTACCATTTAGACAAGAGTTCGGCCAAAAGTCCCCGCCCCTATCCCCCTTGCTTCCCCCCCTGTGCCCCCCTAAACATACAAAGTGTAAGAGTTACGTATATCACGTTTTTCTCGATTGTTAAACGACATATTGAATTGCAATTAGTAAAGTCTTTGTTATAAAATTTCATACAATCCTGTTCGTTAACTTTCATCGTAGCTGTTACCGTTTGGTCGTTATTTGTATAAATATGTAGAGATTTATATATTTTAAACATATATTTTTGTTGCCTTAACCTTTTTCGCTAACGTTTTATGAAAATATGTTTAGAACAAAAGTTGTAGCTGCTTTCATTAGCTTGAAATGCATAATAGTACTTACTTTAATGAAAATCCTTCGAGATTCAGGCGGTGTAATGCAGTGTGTGTACTCAATCAGTGGGTTTGATCTAGTTGGGGCTGGCGCGGAATACTATCATTGTAGTAATGTGGAGAATGTTTTTTTTACTTAAGATACACTATTGTACTATAAAAAACCCCCGATCGAAACCCCCATGTAAAGTTAATAACATTATTAAAGTTCATTTTTTTAAATTCATTAAAAAAAATTATTTAGTTTATTATTTAAAAAGCATGTAATTATTTTTTTAGGTATGTAGTATTTTTAAAGGATGTTATCTTTGAACAAAGATCTGGAAGTTAATACCCCTGCCGCAGCAAACCTGCAGACTAAGCAAATTTCCATTAACCTGATTGGATTTACACTAAAATGCCTCCATAAAAATAGCACATTTATTTCCTATTTAAATAGAATAAGTTTAACGAGTACTTAGGTTTGCTGCAACAGGGAGGATAAAAAAGATTTTTTTTATAAATTGATAATAGTTTAGTAAGAAATAAAAGTATTTTCTAAAATCGATCAAAATATGTTCATAAACAAGCAAACTACAACAGTTGACTTATCTATATCTATCTATCTATACTATTATATAAAAATCTAATGGTGTCTGTATGTGTATTACTAATAGGTGCAAAAACTACTGAACCCACTGGGCTTAAATTTTACAAAAATATAGCTACCATACCAAGGACCATTATAGGACTATTCACACTTCAATACTGACCGTGGACTTTGCCCCTTTGGCTTTAAAAGTTCTGTGGTGAGGATTTTAAAAGTAAATATTGATTGGTCTCCATGGCTGCAATGGGAATACTCACAATGTTTACATTTGCCTTGGCATTTCAATGTAAACAAGAACAAACTGCCAAATTGCATATCTCACAATTTAAGACAGCTGATCCAATGAAATAAAATATAATATTTCACATAGTTATGTGGTTGGTTTATTTAATCTAAAAGTTTATCAAAGGCCATTTATTCAAAAACTATGTCAATGATTATAGAAATAAAAACAAATATTCTAAAAGCGTTGCTCTATCAACTCAGGCTCTGCTTTCAATTTTTAAAGTGTCTTAAGTGTTATGAAAATAATGTTATTGATATATTTTCATGGAAACAGTAAGAAAATTACAATGTATAGATGTTTTGTATGAATTTGGAGGCTACTTTAAATAAATTCGAACTGCTTAACATGTGTTAGATTAACTTAACATAACTTGCACATCACATTGTTTTTTTTATATGTATATTTAAGTAAATTTAGTTATTGTGTTTTGCTAAACATATGCTTAAATTAAACTAAAGCATATCATCAATAACTAAATTGTACGTCGATTTTTGTGTTCTAAAATCTGTTGTATATGTGTATACAACAGTGTATACATATAGGCCTAATATTTAATTATCAAATGGTAATACAAAATACTCTTATTTTATCTTAACATAGCTTTAAGTTCAAATTTACTTTATTTGATAAATTTATTATTTGGGTATTGCCACACCACTGATTAAATTAAACCAAGGAAAATATCATAAAACTAAGCAGTACACAGTGTTCTTTTGTTTCTAAAATCAATGAAATATCTGTTGCTATGTTTACTTAATAGTAAGTGTGAAAATGTAAAGGCAATGGAGATGGAACTGATTAAAAGAACTGGTTTGTATAAGTTGTTTGTTGATATTTTTGTAGAGTAGAATCAGAGATGCAATGAAACATATACTGTATTTGCTATTACATTTTTTGGTCCTCGACGCTTTGATAATCATATTAGTTTTGTCTGCTGTCCTTAATGCAAAATTATTTGTTTAAAATTTTTTATAGTATAGATATAGTTTCTTTAATATTTTCAAAAGACTATTGATAAGGCACAACAATATTTCTAAAGCTTATAACAGCTGACTTAGTTTTGCTAATGATTTATTGTGAGTGAAGAAACTAAAGATGGAAGGATTTGTGATTTAATATGAAGAAGAGTGAAATTAAAAAAAAATGTTCATTTAAATTAATTAGTATTTTTGCATATTCAAAATTGAAATTTAAAATGTCAAAAATAAAGAAAAAAGACATGTAATTAAGGGAGATGAAGGTAAATCATGTATGTGAAAGTTTTATTCGAAGTCAGTGTTTCGCATATCAGCCTACACAATATTTAAAATTAATCAAAACCAAAATGGTGGAATCCACTACTTACCAGATTTAAAAGTCATAACTTAAACTTTTCTATTAAGGCCATAAAAGTTGAATTTTGTTTCTAAAAGCGTTGGCGGATATGTAACTATTATATGCAACAGATGTAAAGATTAAAATGTTACTATTTTGTGTCCTCTTCCCGTTGCAAAGCACGGGTACAACAGCTATTCTCCATAAGAATAACATGGGAATTTCAAAATTACAATTTTTTTGAATTTTCTCCGTAACAAATAGGCGCATAATAACGCTTCAATATACTAAATTATTTGTTTTTTTAAGCTCTACAAAATAGTTTAAAAAGAAATTGTGAAATTTTGTGTTTTTAGGATCAAAAATGGGAAAAACCTATTTTTACCCCATAAAACCCCCCATAAACCCCCGTTCCCATAGTCCGATCATGTTGGTTCACGAACTCATTCAAGTTTATCCCGCCTTACACCTTCAAACCAAATTTTATCAAAATCGGACAAAAATTACTCAAGTTATTGTGCGGATGGACACACACATATATATATATCTATAAATAGTAATATAAAAATTTGAACGAATGGTGTTTTTGGCCTCTGGGGACATCAAAATGAAAAAGTAAATCGGTCCCGGGCTTAGGTCTTACCATGAGACCTACGGTAATAGCTACTTCCCTATAGGGAAATTCGCTATAAATGTAATATACATCGAATTGAAATTGTTTATTCCCTTTGTAAACATTTCCTACAATCATGTCCAGTTAAATCTCGTTGTAACTGTTACTGGTTGTTTCTTATCCGTACAATAATGTAAAGATTAATATTTTTTGGACTTGTAACTTTTTTTGCAAAACTTTTAACGCCGTCATTTAATGAAAGAAAAAAATTGTAGCTGCTATCAGCTTTAAAATTATATATTGAAATGTGTACTTTATGGTTATGTAACGCCAGATATCAACCGTGAATGCATGGTGTGTGCTCTATTTTTATGTGGCGCTCCATAGCTGATCCGTTACAGCATTCGTGCTCGATGTTTCTACCCATTATTGTATTTTTCTCGATTTAAAAAATTTTAAGACACCAAAAAACCATGGGAAAGCAGTCGATTTAGTTCATAATTCAACTACTAAACAAACTATAAGTAAATGTATTGAAAAAAGGAAAATGTTTGGTGTGACTAGGTTAGGTCCATGCTAGAAGGATTTGTTTACCTTGTTATGCTATGTTTTTGAAACAACCCATTCAATCACCCAATACGTGTGCAGGTCGTGGTAGACCAGTTAACGATTTATTAAAAGAAAAATTCATACAAGTTTGTGATTTCATTGAGGAAAATTATGACTGCCAGCATAGCATTCCTAACCTTTTGCAATTGATGAAAAATATATCAGGCAGAGACCAGGTTTATGAA